GTCGTGGATTGCGCCTGAGCCGCTTCAGTTTCTTCCTGGAGAGGGCGACACCGTCCACTATGACCTCGTCCATGATGCGCTTGCTGGGTTCGGATGCAGCCGCTCTCGCCGCCGCCGCCGCCGCCGCCGGAGCGCAGCACTTCTCAGGGATGCTGCGATTGCCATGGAGACAGAGAGTTATCCACCGTGACCCAGTTTAGAGAGGAGGGAAGGAGAGAGAAAAAAAGTGGGAGCAATGTAGAGATGAGAGAAGAAGTGAGAGAAAGAAAGGGAGAGGGAGAGAGAGAGGGGGGAGGGAGAGAGATAGAAAGAGAGAGGGGGAGGGAGAGAGATAGAGAGAGAGGAGACGAGAGGAGAGAGAGAGGGGGGGGGGCGAGGGAAGAAACCAAATCCATTGATAGCAGAGTGTGTAGATAGCAGATCTAGAGAGCATTGTGTGTGTATGCATCCGTGCGCATGCATGAATGCGTGCGCGTGCGTGCATGCATGCGTGTGTGTGTGCGTACAATGATGACAAAGCAAGGTACTTCATAGGCAGGGTCTGACACTCACTGCGGCCGGACGTAGGGCTGGCACACCCAGTGAGGAAGGTTGAACTCCGTCACCATCCCTGTCTTATCCGTCTTGTATTTCTCCTCGTCTTTCTGAAATGCGCAACACCGAAATTTACGCAATTTACTAAATTTATTTAATTTGATTAAATTTAGTAAATTTACGCGCAAGCTTTTCCAAGTTTCTCCACGAAATTTCCGAGAATGTCCGATTAGAGACGGATTTCTAAGAGTTTCTCATTATGGCACTAAACGATTACTACATGTGAAATGTAATGACGGACATACCAGGCATTGTATTTTGATGGCTTCGATGATGGGTCCAAAGTCTTTCACGGTTTTGGCCTGGGCCATTCTGTCCCTCAACTCCTTGTATCGTTGCAACCTGTGAAGAGAGAGAGAAAGAGAGACCGATTAAAGTCAAGAACTAATTTGTAAAGCGATGTAATCCTAAAGTTGGTTTCTACGATGAAGTATTATATTCTGCTTCCACTGTTTCTTCTGTGTAAAAGCTGCTTCTTGTATATATTCCTATAATATGTAATTGTAATGTACTATTTTAATTAGAAGAAAGGAAACACACTACAGGATACTACGCTGCATATGTGAGTACATGTGCGTGCGCCGCATGCGTGCGTGCGTGCGTTGCCCTACTCACGTGTGGTGGCAGAGCTTGAACAGGTGACCGCGCACGTACGACGTCGGACACGGATGCCTCGCCGCCAGCCTCAGGTACTCCTCGCCGACGCCCCAGTTTGGCGGGTGGCCGCCGCGGAACAGCGCCGGGTTGTGCAGGCATCCCTCGGCGGACATGACGGCGTCCGCCCCCGTCTCCGCGAGGCAGCGCTCCACGTCCGCCGTGAACTGCACGTTGCCGTTGGCGACGACCGGCACGCGGACGGCCTTCCTGCGAGGCAGACGACAACGACGACGAAGGGGTGAGGACGGCATTTCGTGCGGGATTGTACGAAATATCGTATGCGAATACGCGACTATTTTAGTAAGTGTTTGGACGGATTTCCTGTGTGGCAGATGACGGCAGCAGCGTGCGGATGGCAGGGGTGAATTCGCGCGAATGAGCGAAATGTTGTATGCGAATACGCGAATGTCTTGATAATAATATGGTGCGCATTACTGTTAGTATTATTATTATTATTATTATTATTTTATTATTAGTGTTCGATTGTGATGGGGAGGCACGGTCTGGTCATTATCTTACGTCTTTTGCATCACCGTTTACGGCGAAAATCCAAGGCAAAATATTCGTGCTGGAGTTATTCACGTGAGAATATGGTGTCAATATTATCGCGTAGTGTTGTCAATCGGTTGTAATTTCGTAATCGATCATCGGTTGGACCCAAGTAACCGATGATCGGTTATAATCGGTTACTCGAGGTGTTGAATGCCTGCGTGTGCGTAACGTCGTGCGCATGTATGTGCTTGTTTAGCCCTGTTTACTGCGTTTTGCACTGTTTACTACTGTGTGTATAATACATGTATGTTAATAAAGAATAACTTGTATAGTAGCGATGATATCTCTAATTCTCATCACTTTTCAAAAAAAAAAAAAAAATTTTTTTTTGTTGTTGATGAAATTGATTATGGATTTTGATAACCAAGCGCTTGGTTCGAGCCACTGTTCAACCGATGCTCGAGTATAATCGATGATCGTGACATCACTATCATCGCGGTCAGGTGAGAATGTTCGACATTCGTGCTGCGAGTCAGACAGGAATACCGATACGAATATCATGAAGCTCAGACAATTTGCGACGTGAACACTTGCGCCATTAGGCAAGAATACGGCTCGAATTTTTTCTAGAGTTCAGGCGAGAATGTGTCGAGCATTTCTGCCGCTAGATGGCGACACTACTGCCACTAATCTCTACATCAAACGGCATCGTCCCGCACGGTTTCATCGGCGAGCACGCGTGTTAACAAGTGGCTCCCCCTAGTGGTACTCACTTGACGGCTGCGATGTGCTTCCAGCTAGCGATGCCGGTGAGAGGTCCGCGCTGCTCCCGCGCTCTGCCGTGCACCACGAGCAACTAGCAACGTGCGAAGAAAAGCATCAGAGTCACGTTAAGTGGACGCGGCTGCGAAAACAGCTTTGATCGACATTCAGTGTATATGTGCGAAAATATCTATGTCAAAATGCATTTGCCTCATGCAATTTGCAATATGTTGGCAATTTGCTTCCTGCACATGCAAAATGCATTAATATGATATTTTAATTGTTTGTGAAACACGACAATATTCCACCTTCATGTTAATCAATTCTGACGGGATCTGATGCCATATACATATGCAGTACATTTTAAGACAACCACATAATAAAAATTGCAAACTACTTAACCCCTTCGACAGATACTATCCAATAATTATAATACACTTCTACAAAACTTCTATTATAGATCACAGAACATGTAATTCGGTATTAACCCGGTAACACACTAAATAGCCTCACCTGCGCACCAGCCTTTTCGAGCATTCTTGCGTATTTCACAGTCTTCTCTATCTCAGGAAACACGCGTAGCTTGCAGCAGACGGGCACGGATAGCTCCTTGTGAGCAGCACTCACTACAAACCAGAACACAGACCCGAGCGTAAGTAAGCGCACGACCGGACGACCCAAGCTCTAACATTGTTATTCATTCTTTTTGCATCGATCCTCGTCGAAATAATTTGCAATTGTCGCTTGCTTGTCATTTTTCAACCGATTGGTTTTGACATTTAACTGATATTGAATTTCCCGTCGTCGAATCATCCGTGGTTATTGCGGAGTGATTTTCCAATGGGCTAAGAGTGTGCCTTACTTAGATCTCACCAAGATCCCAGATCCCTAGATCCTACCAAGATCTCAAACGCGTAAAACTCAATTAAATTCCGAAATCACACAAACCTCAAACAAAGAACTCCAATCATAGTCAAAAAAAGAATTCTGGAATTAATCGTCGCGGTCGTAAATCGATTTCTCGCGACAATTCCGAAACGTCCGGATACATATATACACACACCGGAACATACACGGAACATATACGGAATACGGTATATATACGAAACATATATACACAGACGAGGCATGCGCGTGCACCGGACACACGTACCAATGCTGTGAATGAGATCCCACTCGTCCTGCAGGAATGACCCGTAGTGACCTCGCTTCGCAATCGCTTGTGGACATCCGAGGTTCAGGTCGATGGCCTCGCAGCAGTGTTCCACCATCTTGCCCGCCTCGACGAACGTCTTCGGATCGTTGGCGCAGAACTGCAAAACGTAAAATCAGTGCACGCAAAGAATTAGCGCTACGATTGACAGACAAGAATTAATAAGAAATTCGTAAGAATAAGAATTAGCAATTTACAATCTATAATTATTATAAAGATTATATTACAAAGATTAGTTTACGATCTACGCACGCCTTGACTGCCTGTTATCGACGACGAAGAAGTTCTCACCTGTATGATGAGCGGGTAGGTAACGAGCTTTTCTCACCTCTATGATGAGCGGGTAGCTAACGAGCTTCTCTCACCTGTATGATGAGCAGGTAGCTAACGAGTTTTTCTCACCTGTATGAGCGGTGGCTAACGAGCTTCTCTCACCTGTATGATGAGCGGGTAGCTAACGAGCTTCTCTCACCTGTATGATGAGCGGGTAGCTAACGAGCTTCTCTCACCTGTATGATGAGCAGGTAGCTAACAAGGTAGCTAACGAGCTTCTCTCACCTGTATGATGAGCGGGTAGCTAACAAGGTAGCTAACGAGCTTTACCTCAGCCTGTATGATCAGCGGGTGATCGTCGGCGCACCGTCTGGCACGCCCCTCGGCGTAGCGTGCGTCGCGCGGTGAAGCACTGACGCGTGAACAAATCGGCTGTAGTGGCAGAAGCTGGCGCGCGTGTCTCCTCCGCACAGGAGGCGCCAATGCGAGCTCAGCGTCGATGGTCGATCCATGGTGAAGGATGTAGCGGACTTGGCCAGAGCGTCTTCGTCCCAGCTCGTAGACCTCCGATTTTCCGCGTCGGCCTGCCCACCTTCTGCCGCTCGCCGCCGAGAATGCAAAAGCTGCCTGCTGAAGTAGTAGAAAAGAAACTGGGTGAGAGTGACGTAAACTGAGGGCGAGGATAGAGTAGACGTAAACTGAGGCGAGGAATAGTGACCTAAACGGGCGAGAAATAGTGACCCTAACTTGGCAAGAATAAATGACCTAAACTGGGCAGAGGAATAGAGGACCTAAACTGGGCGAGGAATAGAGTTGACGTAAACTGATCGAGCGGAATAGTGACCTAAACTGGCCGAGGAATAGGACCTATAACTGGCCGGGAATAGAGTGTACTAAACTGGGCGAGAATAGAAGTGACCTAAACGGGCGTTAGGAAGTAGAGTGACCTAAACTGGGCGAAGGAATATAGTGCACCTAAACTGGCCGAGGAATAGAGTGACCTAAACTGGGCGAGGAAATAGTGACCTTAAACTGAGCGAGGAATAGAGTGACTAAACTGGGCGAGAATAAGAGTGATCTAAACTGGGCGACGGAATAAGTGATCTAAACTGGGCGAGAATAAGTGACGCTAAAACTGTGCGAGGAATAGATTGACCCTAAACTGGACTGAGGAATAGTGACGACTAAACTGGCGAGGACATAGAGTGACCTAAACGTGGACGAGGAATAGAGTGATCCTAAACTGAGCCGATGGAATAGAGTGACCTAAGCTGGGCCGAAGGAATAGAGTGATCTAAACTGGCGGAGGAATAGAGTGATCTAAAACGGCGGAATAGTGAGCCTATAAACTGTGGTGCGAGAATAGATTGACCTAAACTGGAACAGGAATAAGTGCTAACTGCGAGGAATAGAGTGACGCTAAACGGACGAGGAATAGAGTGATCTAAACTGGGCGAGGAAATAGCTGACCTAAACTGGAGAGGGAATACGAGTGACGGCTAAACTGAGCGAGGGAATAGACAGTGGACCTAAACTGGGCGAAGGATAGTGACCATAAACGTGTGCGAGGAATAAGATTGACGCTAAACCTGGACGAGGAATAGTACGCTAAATGTGCGAGGAATAGATTGACGCTAAACTGACGAGGAAATAAGTGACCTAAACTGGGCGAGGAATAGAGTGACGCTAAACTGGGAGAGGAAATAAAGTGACGCTAAACTGGGCCGAGGAAAGTATGAGTTGAAAGAGTGCCCTTAAACTGAGCGAGGATACGAGTGACCTAACTGGGCGAGGAATAGAGTGAATCTAAAACGGCAGAGGGAATAGAGTGAATCTAAACTGGAACGAAGAAATACGTGACCTAAACGGTGCGAGGAATAGATTGAACCTAAACTGGAACGAGGAAATAGTGACGCTTAAAACTGGGCGAGGGAATAGAGTGACGTAAACTGGACGAGAATACGAGTGATCTAAACTGGGGCGAGGAATAGTGACCATAAACTGGGAGAGAATAAAGCTGACCTAAACTGGGCGATGAATAGGGACCTAAACTGGAGAGGAATGAAAGTGAACCTAAACTGGGCGAGGAATACGAGTGAGACTAAACTGGGCGGGAAATAGTGAACCTAAACTGGGCGAAGAATAGGACCTAAACTGGCGAGGAATAGTGACGGCGTAAACTGGCGAGGATAGAGTGACCTAAACTGGCGAGGAATAGTGCCTAAAACTGGGCGATGGAATAAGTGACCTTTACTGGAGTGTGTAGCCTTCGAAGAGGGAGGAAGGTATTTTGATGAGATGTTTTTTGAGTTCAATAAAATTAGGTCACCGATAAATCGTAAACAACCCTAATAAAATCATGTTTAAATCTTCATAACCTCGTCAATTTTGGTCTTCAAAGTCCAAGGTACTACTATCGAAGACGGAAAGAAAGAGACAAACTGGTGCAGTGGTGATCAAATACTAGACAGATCAATACTGCAGATCTGTTTTAATGTGGGCATCTGTAAAATGCTCGTGCCCCCCCCACACGCCAACGGCCACAGTATCTATGCGCCACTCTCCCCGTGACTCAGCTGAATCACGAAATCTGCCCTCCGGTCTCCACAGCCTCACTCTCAGGTACAGGGGTTTTCTCGGAGAGCGATTGACAGTCACTGACATTTCCTGGTAATCAGACTATAAATATGTACCTTTCGACACCGCACATACATAGAATGTCACCACACGTATTATATTCTAACGTCCTGTTTCTACTTACTATAAATAAACCACAACTGTGAGCCCTACGGAGTCACAGACAGTAACTAATCACGTATTGCACAATTTAGCACACGTTTGTCAACAGTCCAATGGGGGTTGCCATATTACACTAAGACCGCTGCTCTTGTGTTTTACGCACCCCTACCGGCGATATCAATCGAAATCAAACCAAAGATTGGTAGTTTGTTGCAGCGTGTTGTCAAAGATACTGTTAGTGTTACTATAACCCAAATGTGTTTTCAATCATATATGTCAAGATGCAAGAAGTAGTAGCGCCCGTTCATAATGTCAAGTTTGATCTCGAAATTTCGCTGGAACAACAGTTGGGGGCACAGCCATTACCGTTTCCCGGAATGGACAGTAGGTTCCCGATGAAATTATTTACTCATTACCAGTCACTGTACACTGACGTTGTTGTTGAATCAATGACAATGAATGTTGTTGCCTCGACATCAGTCTCTTGAATTTCTAATTAATCTCCGTCGTTACCGTATTATTAGTATTACTACTAATAGTACTATTAGTATTAATAATAATATGAAATTTATAACATTTGGCACACCCGCTACTCTGCAATGTGGCTCGTTGTTTACTCGAGATTCACAAAAATCTTCCAGAAAATTCCTGTGTTCCGGGACTGATGACCCATAGCCATAGGCCTACTTAACACACACCCAGTATGGCTGATAGGGTCTATGTCCCCCAGGTTACTGCCGGAACGTACCCTGGTAACTATCTGATAATGCCGGACCGTACCTCGCTTACTCCCTACCGTACCCTGATTGTCCCTGTTCCGCCCACTACTGCTGATAGGGTCTATGTCCCCCAGGGTACTGCCGGAACGTACCCTGGGTACGGTCCGCTATACCGGAGCGTACCCTGGTACTAAATACTACTATCTAATATGCCGGACCGTACCTCGCCTCCTCCACTAACGAGTCTAAGGAGCCGCCTACTCCCTAACCCTAACCCCAACCCCAACCCTAACCCTAACTTTAATCCTAACCCTAACCATATCAGCTAGATAGTTACCAGGGTACGTTCCAGTATACCGGACCGTACTCTGGGTACGTTCCGGCCGTACCCTGGGGGACATAGACCCTATGAGCCCCACTACTGATGTCGCAAATTTTGAAATATACATGTATACATACCTGTATGATATCTTTATAAAGTTGGATTGGAGTATGAAACTGTGAAATCAAGAAGAAATTTCAACCTATTATATATACACTGATGCGCGCAATTCTTTTACAAATATCGCGATGATCGGGAATGCGTTTTCCTTTCGCAATGTTTACGACATTTTCGCGCGAGATTTTTGAAAGATGGCTCCAAGTGTTATGGTGGAACAGGAAAAGTTGTATGATTATCTTAATGGGTTGGAAACGTATAGACTCGCTGACACTTGTAGAAAGGGTCGGGAGGTGAAACGTAACAGGGTAATATTTACGAATATTTTGCGGGAACGGACCGGAAACAAGGAACGGGAGCATAAAGCGGCGCGTTTCCTGCCGACAAGCGGTCTGTATTACGACATCGGCTGAAAGTCAGGGTACGGTTTGGAGTAGGCGAGGTATGGTCCGGCATATTAGATAGTTACCAGGGTACGTTCTGGCAGTACCCTGGGGGACATAGACCCTATCAGCCCCAGTATGGCAGTAATATATTTATAGTCATACCTAGTAATACTTATTATAGAGTTATACCCTTAACTCTAACGCAAAGCACAATCTTACTCTTAGTCAAGTCGTAACAGTCGATCCTTACGCCGAGCACGTCGTCAAAAGTAATAAGTAAAGTTAGTCAAAAGTAGTCGAAGTAAGTTGTAAGTCCCATTGAGCGTTTGTGCGATGCCCCAACAGGGGTCGAAATTAGCTGGTATCCCATTTTTGGGATAGTAATTTCAACAATGTTGGTATCCAAAATCTTGAAATA